CTTCAGTGAACAAAATTGCTAAAAATGAAATTAAAAGAACTTAGAAGGTGTATAAGACCAAATAAACGAAAGAAAAATAACGAAGAGAGAAAACAAAAATAAAATAAAATGCAATTCAAATAAAGAAAAAATAAAAATTAAAGAATACTATAATTGTCATATGATGCCAAATACACCGCAGAGAAAGTTCAAAAATTTTTATTTAAAATTTTTACAGTAATAAATTTTTTGAAATCATGAGAATTAAATTTATTAAAATTAATTTTTTGATTGTAAAGAAACCTAAAAACAATATTTAAAAAAAATTAAAGTAAAAATTAGTAAATCCATTATATTTAGTGGTCCATTGACCAAATTACTTTTTTTAATTAATTAATCTTTTTATGTAAGATTTTTGGTTGAAATTAAAGAGAGTAGCGGCGTATTCAGCCAAAGGTTGTCGGTTCGAATCCCGCTTTGCATTAGGTTTTACATTTCAACCAAAAGCCTTACATAAAAAGATTAATTAAGTAAAAATTATTGTTTACTTTGGGCATAAAAATATTAGTCGCTACTTTTGGTCTTGTATGACACTCATTGTTTGATTCAGCAAAAAGTTTATTTTGAAAAACATTGAAACAAGAACATTTTAAAACCAATTTGTTAAATTTTAGAACTGAAAAATATCACATTGTTGATTGGTATTAAATCGAAAAGGTTTAGAAAGAATAGTAACTAAGAAATGTGCAATAACCCAAAAACCTACTTGGGGAATACGAAACCCCTCTTCGTAGCATACTCATTTTCATCATCATATTCATCCCCATCATATTAATAAATCCAGAGGCTATGGCCAATTACAAGTTTTTCTTTCCGTACATCCCAATGCCCTTCGGTCAACTCAGTACCTTCATCATCAGAATCTTCACTGTGTGCAGAAACGCCGTTAGTTTGAGAACAGCTGTGTATCTATGCAAAACGTCTTTTCTTAGGGTGTTTGTTCTTCCTGATTTGAAGATACTCATCATAGACTTTATCCTAATTAAATTAGAACATTAAATTAGACTACTGTTTTTCAATAACGATTTATTACTGTCATTTCATCTCTTCTTTTACAAAGTTCCTCGCAAATTTGAAATTATTTATCTTAAAATGTTCCTAAGCACCTATTTCATAAAAATCGTTGATTAAAATAACGGTTGATATTTCAGACAATTTTTATTTAAAATACACATCATTTGATAAATGTCGACGTTACAATTTGGGCGTCAAATTTTAAATTTATTGTTACCGAGCCTGGTGAAACTGGTGATTAACAAACACTGACGTCCACCGGATGTTACTAGGTCGAAAAGACTGACGGCTGCGTAGCTGCGTAACGTAACATGTTGCTGGCTGCATCCACCGTTTCGTTGATTTACGAACTTCCGGGGTGGGAAAACGAGACCAAAATTACACCGTCGAAACGGAAGTAAGTGTGTAAAGCACTATACAGTGCCAATATAATTTGATTGTTGGCCTTTTTTGAATCATGAAAATTATATGTGAAATTATTTATACAAATAAGTAGAACATTTTTGAATACGAAAAAATTCATTGGATAAAATTTTTCGTGACTGGTCTAATTTCTTGTGAGAGAGAGGAATAGATCAATCTTACTCGACTTATTCAAGGAGAAATGTCAAACTTGACATCATCGCCTTCTCCATTGATGAATCATTGTTAAAAGTAGTGCATCTTGTCTAGAAGTCAGACCAAGGTCTAGAGGTTAATATTTCTAATTTGAAATTAATAATAATAGCACTCTCTCTCACTGAATCAATCATTCTGTTTCACTCACTCAATCACTCATTTTCTCTTCTCTCTCTCTCGCTCGCGCTCACTTTTCTCTCGTTTCTCTCACTCACTATCTCTCTCTCGATCTGTTTGCTCTCTTTATCTCTCACTCCCTTACTCCGTCATTCACTCCCTCTCTCTTTTCTCTCTCTATCTTTCACTCGCTCAATCATTCTGGCTCACTTACTCAATTACTCACTTTCTCTCTTCTCACTCTCTCTCGCTCCTTTTTTTTTCTCTCTCTCTCTCTCTCTGTCTCTCTCGCTCTCTCTCCCTGTCTCTCTCGCTCACTTCTCTCTCCTCTCTCACTCACACACACTCTTTCTCTCTCTTGATCTGTTAGCTGTCTGTATTTCTCACTCCTTTACTCAGTCATTCACTCCCTCTCTCTTTTCTCTCTCTATCTTTCACTCGCTCAATCATTCTGGCTCACTTACTCAATCACTCACTTTCTCTCTTCTCTCTCGCTCTCTCTCTCTCTCTCTCTCGCTCCCTTTTTTTCTCTCTCTGTCTCTCTCGCTCTCTCTCCCTGTCTCTCTCGCTCACTTTTCTCTTTTCTCTCACTCTATCTCTCACTCACACACACTCTCTCTCTCTCGCGATCTGTTTGCTGTCTGTATCTCTCACTCCTTTACTCAGTCACTCCCTCTCTCTCTTTTTTCTCTCTCTCTATCTCTCTCACTCACTTTTCTCTCTTTTCTCTCACTCACTTTTCTCTCTTTTCTCTCTCTATCTCTCTGTCTGACTCTCTCACTCACTCCCTCTCTCTCTCTTTTCTATCTCTATCTCTCTCGCTCACTTTTCTCTCACTCAATTTTCTCTCTTTTCTCTTACTCACTTTTCTCTCACTCTATCTCTCACTCTCTCTCCCTCTCTCTCGCGCTCTCTCACACTCTCTCTCACTCACTCCCTCTCTCTCTCGCTCACTTTTCTCTTTTTTCTCACTCTATCTCTCACTCACACTCTCTCTCTCGATCTGTTTGCTGTCTGTATCTCTCACTCCCTCTCTCTTTTTTCTCTCTATCTCTCACTCGCTCAATAATACTTTCTCACTCACTCGCTTACTCCCTCTCTATTTTCTCTTGTTATCTTTCTCAATCACTCACTCCCCATCTCTTCTCTCTCACTCACTCATGCCCTCACTGATTCCCTCTCTCTTTTCTCTTTCTATCTTTTTCTTTCTCGTTCACTCACTCACTTCCTCTCTCTTTTTTCTCTCTATCTCTCAATCACTCAATCATTCTGGCCTACTCACTCCCTCTCGTTTTTCTTTCTCTATCTCATTCATTCACTAACCCACTCACTCACTTACTTACTCACTCACTCCCTCTCTCTTTTCTCTCTCTATCTCTCTCACTCACTCACACCCTCTATACTTCTCTTTTTTTCTCACTCATACCGCTAAAGCCTATTACCGTTGATCATAGTCTTGTTATATCCAAGTTTGGTGAAGTGGTGGTTCGTTCGATTAAGGCCTACTTATCTGATTGATGTATGAAGGTTAAGTTTAGGGGTAGAATTTCAAGTTCATTTATTGCTTCATCGCGTGTTCCCCAGGGATCGCATCTGGTAGTAAATGGTCAAGTAGATAATGGGCTTTTACAAAAGGACTTGGATAGATTCTCTTCTTGATGTTTCGTCAATAAAGCCTTACCAGTCTTCATAATTCTTAGACGGGTGTGAATTGGAGAAAGTTTCGACCGTAACTGACCTCGGGGTAATTTTCGACAATAAATATTCCTTTATTCATCACATTGAATCAGTTATTTTTTGGTCTCACAAAAATTTTGGTTTCCTTATTAGAAACGCTAAGGCTTTAGGAATATTCTGCCATTAAATGCTTATTAGCCTTGTGAGAAGCATAGTTGAATTTTGTTCCTTGCTTTGGTATCCTTGAGCTTATGATTGCCTGGTCCGTATCGAAAGGAGACAACGTCGATTCTTGAAATTCCTGGTATTTAAAATGGGCTTCCAATGAATCGAGTTCGAGTAATAGTGGCGCCAATTTTGAGTACATTTTTTTATGGAGACTACTGAGTACCATTGCTCAAAGTACATGAAAATATGTTCCTTTGCGAGTTCTGAGATGTGATTAAAAAAAGTATGCGAATTTTCCCTGGACTGTGTATGCTAACATTGAGACACTCAATTACTTTTAGAGAGTTTTTAATGAAATTTGCCATAAGTTAAATATAGAAATATTTGGGTCGTTTTACTTGTTTAAAAGGGTGATTTGTAAATATCTGGAATATAAGTAATGTTAGATTAGTCTGATATATTATGTAAATTGACTTCAATATTTGGGACATTCCTGTAATGCGATTAATAATAAAGAATATTAATAATCTTCGCTGTAGCTTTTCATCTTCGGCGAACATATCCGACGAATTTTTTCATTTGGAAGGACTTTTCCATGCGAAGGACGTTTTCCACTGTTGCGGTTTTTGTGGGCAGAACGAGGATTTTTCAAAAAAAGTAGAGCACGCATGCTGCGTCGATAATTCTACAATCGGCACTGTCCACGCCCGTTTCCCGCAGGAATCTAAAGAACGGTGGTTTGAACGGTCGGGTAAGAAAGTATTTTTGCTGTGTCGATTTGAAGATTTTTTTTTTTGAAAAGTGGGATTGTTCCAATTCGGGTTCACGGCACTGCGTGGGCGAAACTTGTGAAGGCGGATCGGCTTTTTATGAGGTCCTTCCAATGCAACAATAACAACCGAGCTAGTTACAAACATAGTTCTATAAAAGTTACTTTAGTCTTTGTGATCGCAATATTTTGTCGTGGTAAAATGTTATTTATGGGTTTATTTATTAGATTTCGTGGTTGAAAAATGGCAAAAAGGAGGGAAAATTCAAAAGGTGGTGTTGAGATGGGAAGTTGGTGTCCGAGTGGATCGAAGTCACGATAGCTCAAGTGATAGAGCAGTGGCGTATTTAGCAAAAGGTCGTGGGTTCGAATCCCGCTTGTGACACTGATTTTTTTTATCTCAATCAAAACCTTAATTAAAATATTAATTAATTGAAAAGTTATTTATGGGGTTAAATGAATGTGACAAAACAAATTGAATAACTTTAGACTAAAGTTCGATGGTGTGATTAAATACATTCGAGAGAGAAAAAAAATCAGTTTGTGTGGTATTTTCATTTGAACTTAAAAAAGCTAACAAAAGTAAAGTTTAAAGTACCTTGTGTAACGGATATCCCCCAAATAAAGGCGAACAGACAAATCCTCAAGCTGCGCCCCGACGGGCGTCGTATTTTCTCGTACATCGCACTTGACACTCACTGTAACATTTTTTCTTGTCCGGAACCGGCTCAACCAAGGCTCGCCGAAGACTGAACCTCTGGAAAACTGGTGGAAGGTACCGAAGGTGACGTCAATAACGGGATCTCCCTTCCACATCAAGAGTCCTGCGGCCCACTTGGCGTCCTCCGGGCTCCGCCGATTGACATAGACTTGAAAAAAAGGCAAAATAAATGTGTTACATTGGCCATTTTAAACGGATCAGATTTGAGCTGTTGCAACTAAACGTTTTCAACTTAGTTTCTAACAAGCGAAATAGCGTAGTTGCATTTTCTCCCCCTTTTTTGGCCAAGATCGCATAAACCAGTGCACATTTAATTCGTTATTGGCAAATAGAACCCAATTTCAAGTAAATAACACTTTAGCTTGTAGAATAGAATAGATTTTATTTTAACTTATTTACATAAATATGCATATACAAAGTGTACGGTAACTCATGTTACAAATTTTGCCCCTAGATTCTAAATTCAAAATGGAACCAAAAAGTCCTAATTAAATATGGTCTGAATCTAAACAGTTTCGGAGTTATTTCACTTTTTCTGATTTTTCAAGATTCCACGACCTTTCTTCAAATAAACAATGATAACTCCAAAACTGCAAGGTTTTGGGCAAATCCGTTGGTACCATTGAAAACTACGTTAAATTTCCAATAAGTTGTGATCAATAATAAACTAGGAAACGTGGTGAAATAAGCATTTTAGTAGCCATTACTTAAAAAAAAATTTTTCAGAGTTGAAAAACTTACTATGCTGATTGTACTATTATTTCCAACCTAGAGCAGAAAATTTCACGAAACATACTCCATTTAATATAATAATATCCTTTTTACTGGTGTATTTGCTTTTTTAATTACTTTTTTCAAAGATAAAGAAATTGATGAAGGAAAAGAAAAAATCGTGGTTGACGGATTGGTAAGGTGGAAAAATTAATAATAATAAAAAATAAAAACTTAAGTTAGTTTTGAATGCAATATCAATACATAACCAATAATAGATAAAATAAATAGCCTGTGTAAATAAATTTAAATAATTTAAACAGATAAATAATTAGTAATCGCTTGTATAATATTGCACGTAAATGTCCAAATTGCCAAAAAATTGATTTTTTTTAATTTATCCCGTTGATTGTAAGGTATATAAGCAAAATTCTTACTTGAATCCTGAAATCAGAGGATTTTATAACAAACTAGCATAAATCCGACGAGATTTTTTTAAATTCGAAAAAAGCTCTTCAGGAGTGATACTAAGAATGCGGCGGTTTGTAAGGGCTGGTATCGACCTCATCTGTTATATTTTCATGTTTTTATATTGTGATATGAACTTTTTTTTAACCAATTGACGGATTGTTTTTACCAAAAGAACCAAAGAGGTTGAGGAAGTATGCTAGGAAGCGGGGGGTTGCAGCATTGCAGTTTTCTAGCTTGTTCTTTTCTCAGTCTCTTAGTTTAGTTCAACTGATTCGATCGTTCTTTTAAAAGGTGGAAGATCGTTATTGGTGCAATTCCTGAACACGATACTATAACTATCGGTTTACAAATGAAAAATTAAGACCTAAAGCGAGCAAAGGTCGGAAGGAGATAAGGAGGACAGTATAGGTGGGCATTTTTTCTCTCTTGCTTGCGGGAACCAGCATGATAAACATCTAGACATTTACTTATTTTTATGTTATTTTTAATTATACATGTACTCAATTCTAGATCTTAGATCTAGAATTTTACTCCCGGCTTCTTGGAAAAAAAACTCATCACTCCGGCTTCTTGTTGCGGTATCCTTCGGCCTCGAACCTGATCTGGGCAAGATAGACCTCCTTTCAACAATACACTAACGGGGTATAATTTATTTTGCATACAGACAAACAACTGAGCAATAAACTTGTTTGCTAGGGCGGATGATATATTTTCGACCATTCTTAAGCCCTTTTGAACAGTAGAATGGAGGGATCTAAAACTATATTGCAGGATGGAAATAATGTTGTGACTGAATAAGGGAATTGGTCTTTGGAGGAAGAGGCGTTCGAAGATTTTGGCTAAATTTCGAAGGAGACTTAGGTCTCTGTATGAGGATGGGGAATCTCGGGTTTTGTAATTGGGTTAGAAGAAAAGGTTCTCATCTGTAGGAAATGTGGGGAGTTATGAGGTTTTTGGCCTGGGTTTTGTTTCCTGGGGGCGGGATATTCTGAATTTAACTTCTGAGGGATGGCTAGGGTTTTGTACGGGTCAGACTCAGAACCCATGGGAAAATACACAAATATCTTCCAAGCTGAGATTCATGCTGAAAGATGTACCCAACTCAACCTAAGTGGTAAAAGAATATAGCTATCATGCCAGATAGCCAAGCAGCCATCAAAGCACTAACCTCAAATACCATTAGTTCAAGTATGGTGCTGAACTGCAAAATCAAACTAAACATATTAGGTACGCAGAACAAAGTCAGCTTTTGCTGGGTCCCAGGACACATGGGATAGAAGGCAATGAGAAAGCGGACACCCTTGCAAGCCAAGGAGCTGCTGCAACGCTGACAGGACCTGAACCCTTCTGTGGCATAGGAACGCACACTATTAAAGTGTATCTCGGACAGAAGGACAAAAAGAAAATGAGGGAACTATGGAATTCACTCATTGGGCACAGACAATCCAAGAATCATCTAAGGAAAGAAATTACAGAATGTGTCAAGGGAAGCAGGAACAAACTGCGAATCCTAATAGGATTCCTAACAGGCAAGTTAAACGGACACTTAAAAAAGATTGGAATAACCCAAAATGGCACATGCAGATTCTGCAAAGAGGCAGAAGAGACACCAACACATCTACTAACGAACTGCGGAGCTACACTAACCCACAGGAGGAAATGTTTTGGGATGTATAATGTGACCATAGAAGAGCTTCACCGAACCGAAGAACACTTCAACCTCTGAAACCGCCCCTGTTAATCAAGTTTCTTATGAACTAGGACTCACCGATGTGTTTTAGGCAGAGCACGGGGGATGCAATAGCTCTTAAAGGGCGCAATATACCCTAAAATTACATCTACATCTTCATCTACGGGTGAGAGGTGAAGAGGTGAATTGGAGAATTCGGCGATTTGGAGAAGTGTAGAAAGGTGATCGGAAAGGATAGCCATCGCGCCTTATTGGGAAGGGTACTGGGTTTTTAGGCAGTTATCTCGTGTGGATTCTAGAATGGATATTTGTAGAATTTCAGGAGGTAAGAAAGTTAGTTAAATATTGTTTTATCAGAGGGGGTTGCTCTGCGTATGGCCGTAATACGGGAACGAATATGAATAAATAAAGTTGCGTTCAAGTTTCGTCTTATCTCGCGTGTTTTATGTTTGCATAACTCACACACTTTGATGTGTGTGCAGAGGGAAAAGTTTTTAATTAACCCGGCTTATACAGTTTCGAAAAGAATTGAGAAAAGGAATGCATTATAAAAAGTAGTTCATTTCCCTTTTGAATTGTTTTCTCACGTGTAAAAAGAACAGATGTATCTTTAGTGGGCATCGAGAGAGCCGCAAGCGACCGAAATAAAATCCTCTTCCGTTGTTGCACTTATCTCTTTATTTAACCTACTTTAATTTCTCCCCTTTCTTGACAAAGTGTTGCAAATCCTTTTCAAACGAAGTAAATACATTTTATTTACTTTACTTTAATCCTGTCGCTCAGAGTGGAGCATAGGCGATCACAAAGTACTTCCATCTCTCCCTGTCAGCTGCATAATTCTTGGCCTCTCTCTACGTCTTCCTGAATGACTTCCTTTTTCCCTCGGTCGTTCAATCTCGCATTGCCCTTGCGGGTTCCACTCTAGTGCGCTTTTCTTCGATGTCGTCTAGTCTTTTTCTCAGTGTAGTCCTATCTATTCACATTTTATTGTGCATTCTTCAGTAAGCTGGACGGTTCTTTTCCAGAACTTGTTTGTTCAGGTCAATACAACCATAATTAACTAAATCAAACACCCATTTTTAGAAATGGAGACTGCCTCTATGATCCTGATATTTACAACATCTTATATAGTCTCAACGGACTATAAAGGAAAGGATGTACACAGGAGAGCATCAAATACAATGATATGGTATACACATACCAAAACAAACGAAGGAACCTGATCGGGCGTTTTTTCTATAAGCTCAAAACATGAGCAATCAAACTCATTAGAGAAGTACACTTCGGTCTTTCAAGCTGAAATACATGCCATCAATGCTTGTGCCCTGGAAAATCTTAAAAGAGGCTACACTGGCAAAATAATTCTCATAAGATCTGATAGCTAAGCAGCCATTAAAGCATTAGCATGTAAAAGAATCACATCAAAATTAGTCAGTGAATGTATCCAAAATCTCGAAAACCTGGGGAAACAACAACCTGATTATATCTTAGGTGCCAGGAATTTTGGGTAATATGAAAGGAGACAGACCGGCCCGAGGAGAATCAGCAAGACCATACATAGATCTCGAACTTATACTTGGGGTAACAAAAACAAATATAGAATCCTCCATCGCAGAATGGATTCAAAGAAAACAAAAGGAGAAGTGGATAAACTCTGGCGGCGCCAGACACAGTAAACTTATGATGAAACAACCCTCATCAAGACTGGCAGAATCACTGCTGCAATTGGAGAGTCACTGGCATCTGAGAAAACATCTACAAAACATGGCATATACAACGATGATCTGCAGATTATGTAATAAAAAGGAGGAAACAGCCTCCCATGTCATCATCGAATGCGAAGCCACAGCCCAATGGTGATCTAACCTAACAAACGAAAAAACTTTGTGCATCAAATTGTAGCAGCGACAGTCAATGACCTGATACCTCTAAGGAGAAGGATTGAGTCTATTGCCCTGAACTAAGGAACTAAGAAGGTACAATAAGACATGCGTTCCCGATTTACTCATCGTCAACAAGACAAGAGGATCTTTAACGTCCGCACCTAGCCTATTCGGCCCTATCGGACGCTTTGATTCTCAAGATGAGAGCTGACGCACTTCTGCATACGACGGAAAAGTGTTAACGCCGCAGCATTGGTGTAGTGGTGTCCCGGCCCCTAAGGGTAAGTAGCCACGCTCT